ATCGACTGCCGGAGTGCATCCAGCAACAATCTGTCCCGCGGTTGTCGGAGGTACTCGTGCGCGGCAATCGGCCTGGCCGTGACGCCGATCGTTGAGAGCGTTTTCTTCCTCCCACCACCCCCCAGCAGCGGCATTTCCGTTCCCGGGGTTTCCGGCCATGGTTTCGAAAAAGACAACCCCAAACCGCCACTGAGCGAACTCAGCGAAGATGCGACCTGGACCGGTGTGGATGGTGGGACAGGTGCTATGTCGGCAGATGCTATGTCGGCAGATGCATCTCTCCCGAACCAGCGAGGCAGCTCGTTTGCCAGCTCGTCACGCCAAAGGTTTTTTGCGGTTTTCATTTCGGTATAATTTCGGTGCATTTCGGGATCAATTCCAGGATTGCCTGAAACCAGGATATTGTCAGCAACGAGGAGCTTGCCCCGAACGAGGGAGTCGCCCGAACGAGGGAGTCGCCCGAAGGAGTGTTTGTAAAGCGTCAATTGGCGCCGAGGTCGGGGGAGCAAGAGCCGTTCTTACCTTTCGTCTCCTCCGCGATCTCCCGCAGGTGGTGATACTTGTCCGGTTCGTTACGGCGGTGTTGAAGGTAGGCTCCGACTTGCGCAGCCTGAGAGGCAACGCGGCGGTGCCGTTGGGTGTTGTTGAGGAATTGAGTCAAGTGGTGTAAGTCGGTTATAGTCAGTCGGACATCGGCGATGTGGGAGAACGTCCGGTGTAACGCGGCGAGCAACGCGGCGGATCCGAATGGGGCCGAGTGCAGCGCCTCGCAGAGGGACATCTCGTGAAGCGGACGTCTATGGGCAAGGAGTGAACCGGCCACTAGGGCCTGCTTGAGGGCGCCAATCCGATTTGTTCCCAAAGAACTCGGAGAGCCATCCAGCATATGACTTTTCGTGACCGGATCCTCCTTCAACGCGGAGTCGTCCAGGGCCGTCGTAGCCTCTAGCACTAACTGCTTCGCCCACCGGATGTTTGCGCCTTCGTCGAACCCGCCTAAGCTTCCTATCTCGAGTTCCGCGAACAGGTCCAGCAAAGACGGAAAGGTTTTGATGATGGCACAAGCGTCCTCCCGTTCCAGTTCTCGGATAGCGCACCCCGTAGAGCACCCTCTGACGGGTGCCGACCAGTTGTGTTTTCGCCCGAGGTTTTTTCGCCTGAAGTGTTTTTCTATCTGTGGTGCAGCAGGCCGGTCGGTCACCGGACTGGGGAGAAAGTTTGAGTGGTCGGTCGCCGGGTGGGCCGTCGACGGACCATCCAGCGAGGCCGGGTCATCCTCCAGGGAGGAGTCAATGGAGAAGGAGGAGGGCAGAGAGCAGCGCAACGGGTCTGTGGAGGACACGTCCGGCAGCGACCCCGAGCCGGGTCGCACGGTGCCGTAGTACTCTTCGGAGGTGGCGACCTTGGACTCACGTTCGGGGGCGAGCGTGTCCATGCCGCCTGCCAGCGACGAGCCCCCGTCTGTGTCTTTCCTTTGGCTGCCAGTTGACTTGACCGTTGCGCGTCCGCGTTTGGCGCGGGCGTAAAAGTCAATGGTGGGGGCCTGAAGAGGGGCAGGTGGCATGGGGGTGACTATGGAGCCGAAGCTCTGGAAGGGTGGCACTCTGGCCTGTCTGCGGTAGCGAATGCCACTGTCGTCGAGCCGGGACTCGAGATAGCGGAACATCGTACGAACATGTCTGTCGGCCATCGGTTGTTCGCCGGGGCCGGAGCCAGCATAGTGGGGGTGAGGCGACACGTCGAAGGTCACCTGTTTTCTCCGGGGCCGCCGCTTCGCCTGCATCCGTGCTTTGATTCGAGGATGTTTTTGGAAGTTCGCTCGACGTCTATGTTTCCATGCCTTGAGCGAGATCGCCAGACGACGAACACCACCTGAAGGCGAACGTGTAAAACGCACCTGCTGTAACAACCGCTCCTGCTCCCGCCTCGCCGCCTCACCTGTCACGTTGTCCAGATGCTTTTGCATCCGCGCAGACTTCTCCAAATACTCGCAGTAACGATCCAAATCTAACTGACCTGTTATCGGGTCCATAAACGATACAAACATCTCCACAGGCGTCCGACGCTCCCTCTCGACGACGTGGCCACCACCAGCGTCACGACCGGCACCGCCGCGCTCAAGGGCAAGCCATTTCTCGAGATTATTACCCGCCAGACGAGTCCGCTCCACCACACTCGTGTCAACGAAACTCCTTCCGGGAGGCGCGCTTCTTCCGGGCAGGGCCCGTCTCCCGGGAGGCGCGCTTCTTCCCGGCGGGGTTCTCCTTTCTGACTCGTTCCTTCCCGATGGGGTCCTTCCCGATGGGGTCCTTCCCGATAAGGTCCTTCTCGACGCGTTCCTTTCCGCTAGCTCCCTCGCTTTACGCAACCGGTCCGTACGTGTTCTCATCAGCGTTCTCGCGGCGGTCGTCTCTGCCCCGAGTTCAGAGCTCGTTTCGCGCCCAGTATTCGAGACGACCGTGTCAAGCGGCTTGTGCACGAACTTATGGTTACACGAACTGCTAATCAGGTCCTCCATAGTGGCACCCCCGGCCGGTCTGGGACTTGGCTCCCTCTCACCCGTTACGGTCTCAATTGGTGCCGTCTCGACAGGTCCCGTCTCGACAGGTCCCGTATCGACAGGTGCGGTCTCAAAAAACGTCCTCTCGGAGGATGGAAGCGGTGAGAACGGCAGATTTACAGGATGCCTGTCGGCCAGCGCAGCGAGGTCCTTTGCGGCGCCTTCGCCATCTGATTCGTAGTCCGGGTCTGTCTCCCGCGCCAGAATTCGGCGGTTGATTTTCTGGGTCTCCTCCAAATCGCGCAGAAACGCCTCCTCCTCCAACAAGGAAGGAATTGACGCGGGAGTGTGCATGTCACTGCTCGGTTTCAGCATCCCACTCACGACTAGATCACTGAACTCGGGGGGCGTCACAAACACGTCTGAGTCATCATCGCTCGTGACCCCTGTTGTGGGGTGCACGACCGGCGGTGCCAGTCGCTGTGTGTTCGGATCCATGTGGGAGTCTGTGTTCGGATCCAAATGCGTTGTTGAACTCACTCGCGATATCTCCGAACTTATTTGCACAGATCGAGGTGTCAGAGATCGAGGTGTCAAGGACTATTATCTCAGTATATCTCTTGCCTCACAATTTCCGTTGCCTGCGTTAATGTGTGTCCCCACGTTAGTTTCCGTGGCTGTCAGTAGGCTTCTTTTAATTTCGAGATCGGCACCAGGTAGCTGAGACGTGTTGAGACGAGGGTGCTGTAGCAAATTTAAATTCCGGGTGCTGGTGCAAAAGAATGCTCTGTCACACGAGGAAATCAAAAAGACCCCAATGGAGGGAAGAATACAAAGAGCTCCACTCTGAAACGCTCTGGCGCGTACTGCGAGACTATGACATGGACGGTAAGGGCACCCATGCGCATACCGGGTACCCGTAAGAGGAGGTATCCGTACCAGGTACTACCCACACCGTACCATGTCACTTTTGTGATATTCTTGCAAGAGATGTGTATTCGTGTTTCCAGTTGTTGTGGGGCGTAACCATGTAGAGGATCGCTATCAGAGTATAAAACCGTTTGCTTTCAACATGTGGTCCTATGACGGGGCGTACTTTAATGCGAGCAGAATCAAGTTCCAGTTACCGGATTTTGCTTGTGACATGTATGAGGGTAACCTGTATGATGGGGTAGTGGTGGGGATGCAAGCCCCGTTGCCGCATACGTTGGATCGTTTTGTGAAGGCGCTAATTGCGGAAAAGGTGGACATAATAGTTACGCTAGGTGGGTCAGCAGAAGGCGAGCGTCGCAAGATGGAACCATATTGGAACGGGTACAAGTCTTCTGAGTGCACGATCGAGAAGGTTAGGGAATTGGATGCTGTCGTGGGTGTAGAGAGGCATCTACGGGTTACTTGTCACAATCTGGACGGCAAGCTTAAACGAAGAGCGGTGATACAGCTACATTATGACGACTGGCTTGATCACACCACTCCCGACCCGAAGAAGTTCAAGGCGCTCGTACGAGACGTGGCGCCCTTCTGCTGTGCTGAGAAACCCCGAGTAATCGTGCACTGCAGTGCCGGCGTCGGAAGAACTGGCACCCTCATTTCTGCACTCCGGTGCCACCTGATCCGGAAAGCTGAACTCGCAAACAAGTGGACGCCGACCAATCGGGCGCCGACCAATCGGGCGCCGACCAATCGGGCGCCGACCAATCGGGCGTCGACC